CCTCACTCCTCCTCCCTTGGGGACAGTGTGCACCTCTGCCAGTGACACCTCTGCTGCCCACTCCATGCCAGGCTATATGTGTCACCTTCTCACAAGTCAAACTTTTTTCTTGACAGATTCGTGCTAGATCTAGGAATACTTTTATTTAAAGCATAAAATTTGTGCTTCAGACTGTTAGAAAACAACAGAAGAACAGTTTAGAAAAACTTCCTTTGCTTAGCCTTCATCTTCCAGCTCTGCCACCATTTATAGCATCATAGAACCATTGAAGGAGTTGGGTTGGAAGGGACTTTCAAGACCGTCTAGTTCCAACCTCCTTGCCACAGGCAGAGACACCTTCCACTAGACCAGGTTGCTCAAAGCTCCATCTGGCCTGGGGTTTGAACACTTCCAGTGATGGAGCATCTACAACCTTCCTGGGCAACCTGGGCCAGTGTCTCACCACCCTCATAGCGAGGAACACTTTCTAATTTCTAAGCCAAATGTTCCCTTTTCCAGTTTGAACCCATTGCACCTTGTCCTATCCCTACACTCTCTGATGAAGAGTTCCCTTCCCAGTTTCCCTGTAGCCCCCTCTTTAACTACCTGAAGGCCACTATAAGGTCTCCCCAGAGTCTTCTCTTCCCATGTATCATGTTAATTGTAATTACTTACACTGGAGCTTGTGAATGACCAGAGATAGGACCCTGGGCTTGGTTTAGTGAATTTTAGTATGGGAGCGTGCTGAAGTGGCACGAAGTGGCAGAGCTGCTCCAGTGAGGATATGCCTGAACCTTGAGGACTAGCAGGAGCTTCAGCTCCCAGTGAGACTGCTGGTGGTGGTGCTGGTGGGTTTGTGCTGTGGGTACATCAGCTGGAAGCATCATCAGAGACCACAGAGCAGTGTCCACACAGTCCAGTACTGACCATCGCTACCAGCACAGGCTTGTCCAAGAACAAGACCTGGTGGCCCGTGAGACTCCAAGCCACCAACCCAGGTGCAAGCTGAGCCAGGGTGGCCCACGGCTGAGCTTTGCTGTCTGCTCCTCACGCGTGCTCAGTCACTTGGCTGGTGGCCACATTGCTGCCGAGCCCTTTCCAGGCGCGGAAGCTGAAGAAGGTGCTGACCCCGTAGGCGATCATGACGAGGCAGGCAAAGAACTGGAAGAGGAGCACAGCCCACGCGTGACCGTGGTGGCCGCCCCCGCCCCAGCCCGTAGGCGATCATGACGAGGCAGGCAAAGAACTGGAAGAGGAGCACAGCCCACGCGTGACCGTGGTGGGCGCCCCCGCCCCAGGGCCCTTCCCTGCCCGCCGCTACTTACGGAGGCCGCGGCTCTGCGGTTGTAGTCACACTGCCGCCAGGACGTGGGCTGGACGGCGGCCGCGCACGTCACGAAGGCGGTGACGTACAGGACAGTTGCCACCGCATTGAAGATCGTCAGCTGGGGGAGGCAAAGAGGAGGTTGTGAGGTCTGGGCTGAGACTTCATGAGAGAAGCAGAGGAAGAGGGTGCAGCCCCTCATGCTGGGGACAAACCTCAGGTTAACATTTCATTCAACACTCCAGGCTACATGGGGAGTTTCTGGTTGACACGAGGACCGCATCAGTGATACAATAGCTCTAACTTTCTGGACTGATGGGGCTCCCAGTTCAGAAAATTTTCTGAGCAATTGAGGGGCAGACTGAAACAATGTCATTGTGCAAAGTGCAGGGGACTTTATTCCATTAGCCCAGAAGAGCCTGAAGCCCATGTCCTCTCAGAGCATCTCACCAGGGTGTTTCCCTTCTTGGAACCCACACTTGCTCACTCTCAGCTACATACCACAAGGGGCCAGGGGATTGCATAGAACTTCAGCTGAAGCTGCAGGAAGTATGTCATGAAGAAAAGCACTGTTAGTATCCAGAAGAAGATGGACACAAACATCACCCAGCCATATGCCGCGTGGAGGTGGTAGGTCGTGCCAGCAATGAGAGCCCACACCAGTAAGCCAAGCACCTGTGAGGGGAAACAGGAAGTGTTCAGGTGGGATGCAGGACATCACCCACGAGCCTGAGCTCACCAGCAGTGAGCTTACAAGCAGTTGTGTCTCCCTCGCTCCAGCAAAGCAGGGACACGAGAGACGCAGAGCAGGGCCGGACCCTGGGGACAGCTCAGGAGAAGGAGCCCACCAGGGACCCTTGTTGCTTGGGGATGGGCTTGTCCCCCAGGTACTGCTGCCCCAGGAGCCGGTACAGGGATGTTCTCCAAGGCAGGATGGGTGAAACCTGGGCATTGTTGCCACCAAAGTTCCCTTCTCAACCAAGAAGCCTCCATGCCGAGAGCTGGTGTGCTGGCTCAGCGTTGGGGACATCTCATGGCATGGAAGACAGCTGTGTCCACCCCGGTGTTTGGACTCTAGAGGAGATGCTGCCCCACTTCACCTGCAGTGATGGGACCACGGAGCAGCTGCCTTCTCCAACATTCCCTCCTGGGGGAACTTCTGGGAGCAGCAAGTTTGGGGGTATTTTTTTTATTTAGAAAGCACCTAAACCATGATGGCCCAAGCAGAGGATGAGGCACCAACACATCATGATGAGGCCTGGAAAAGAAAGGCTGTTGCAAAGCAAATGGTGCTTCCTATGATTTGTCCTGTTTGTTCCGTCAGCTGCAGTGCATGGGGTGCCGGTGGGCTCTGCTTCACCACCTTTCATCACTTCCTGGCTGGATGAGAGCCAAGCTTCCTTCACACCCACCTCCTCCCAAGGCACCAGGAGGCTCCAGCCTGCACCCTCCACATTTCCCAGCATGACCAAATGTCCCGGGGAGATGTCCATGGCAAAGCTGGTGTGAGAATGTGCCCCAGATGCAGCCATAATGTATTCTGGTTCCCAGCTGGGGTTGGCGAAGCTGCGAGCATTGTCTCAGCTTGAGTGTTCTCCTCTGCTTTGTCAGGGGAACCGCCAGGAGTCATCTCCCACCGGTGGGGAGGAGAAGGGCTCTGTGGAAAGCAGCTCTGCCCCTGCATAATCCCACATCACTTATTGTCTCAGAAGAAACACAACAGCCTTTGTCATGCCCGGGTACAACACCCTGGTGCTCAGCTGCCCTGACAATGCCTCCTTGTCTGTCCCATCCATCTCTAGCACTCGTGATCACAAAATACACATTGGGGACATGTACGGGGAAAAGCCCAGTGTGCTCCAGGAGCAGGAGGTGACATGTGCAAGCTGCCCTGCTCTGGCTGCTGGTGGAGAAAAGCATGAGCTCTGAGGAGAAAGGTTTTGGGGAGCAGCAGGTCTTAGTGGATGGGTGCAGGGCAAGCGTGTTCAACGAGACCGCCCCAGCAATGGGCTGGAGGGGTGGGACTAGGAGGGGTGTTGAAGGGTTCCTTCTGCTGATCTTGGTTCCAACTCTCTTTCATGATGTTCTAGCAAGACAGTCCCTGGCAGCTTCCTTCTCCCACCTTTCTCTGAGTGTCTGTGGCACAACCAACCCAGACATGCCCAGGCAGTTGAACCTGGAGCAGAGAGGCAGGTCTATGCCAGCTGTCTGGTTATGTCCCCCTGCCACCCTCCACCACACTGTCCCAGGGAACAGACAACAAGCAAACAGGGTCCCCAGCACCGTGGGCACACACCAGGGCAGGTCACATGTGGCCCCAGGTGCAGCTGAAGCACGGGTTGAACTCGAGGTACCATGAGGAGTTTATTCAGTGGTCACCTCCAATGTTGAAGCATGCCAAGTTGGATGGTGCAAAGACCCTTAGGCTTCTCTGAGAGTAGCCACCAACGCCTGACTGACTCTAGAAGGCTGGGAGTAGTACCCAGGGAGCACAAGAGCCCCATTGCAACCCGGGAGCAGCACAACGCACCTCAGCTGGGGTCACTGTGCTTCACAGAACCCCCCATGACCTGCGAGGGGCTGTGGGTACCAGGATGGGACCCAGTGGCCCGTGCCCTGCAGGGATACAAGACGCCAGATTTCCCCGCGGATTTAGAGAGGGAAGGTGGGGGGGTAGGGGGGAGGCTGCGGTGTCTGAGGGGCAGGGATGAATTAGGAAGCGCGAGGCCGGGGCAGGGGAGGCAGCCCAAGGGAACCTGTTTCGAAGCAGGACAACGAAGAAAAGCATTAGAAGCAGAGGCTGCGCCCCGACGGCCGA